TTACTTAAATTCTAAATTCAAAATTTTAATTTTATTAATAATTTTATTATAATAACTATGAGACTTTAAGATAACTTACTATAATTCCAACTTTAAGTTTCATTCCATGCAAATTTGATCTTCTCGCGAATTTTGATTGATTTAAATTAATGTTTAATCCTGTTTTAAAATTCCACATTCCAAAATATGTTACATTCATTGATCCTCCTCGATCTTTACAAGGATTATATACATCGTATAAAATATAATTTTCTGCTGATGGCACAGCAATTATAACATCAGTAGAGACAGTAAACGTTTCATCACTTAATATTTCTAATACATGACTTAAATTTGAACCAAAAATTAACCATTTATGCATTTCATCATACATAGAATATTTAGTTGCCTACATAAGTATAATAATAAAATATAATAATCTAGACATTTATATTTAACAATTGACAAATTGAAATTAATATTATTATGATGATATTTTTCTTATTTAAAAGTTATGAAATTTTTGAATTTTTATAAAATAATTACAATAGAATAAACTATTTTTAATTTTAATAATTCTTGAATAGTTTGAATAATTTTTTATTCATTATAATAATGAAAACTATATTTAGAAAAAGAAATATATCGAATACATAATTTGAGGATAATATACATGAAAAATATGACAAACAAATATGATAGTATTGAAATATCATAACATTGATGTTTCAATATTTCAAAAGATAAATTACTTACATCTATCAAGATTCTTCTGTATCGACTACGATCGCATCGAGAATCCAAAAAAATACCTAATCGATGGTATTCTGCTCTTAGAACTTTCTTAACATCTAATCGCAATTCAACCGTAGAATTCAACATTGAAATATACGTAATATACATATCGTTGAACGTTTTTGCAAGTTTAAAGTTATCTGATTTTTATGAAATAAAAAAAAGATTTTATACGTTCGAGTTCAAAAAATATTTTTTACAAAATGTTTGCTACGCACTTTCTAGATTGTCACAAGAGAACCCGACGATCCGTTCCACTTTTCTGAATGTAAAATAATCACGGATAATGTTATTTTCATTAACGCAAAAAGTAACTATTAATTGTGCTATTAAAAGCAACAAGAAATACGCTCGATTCATTGTACAGAATTATCTCATGTAGGAACGTTCTCAATACAATATTGAAATCGGTCTTGCGCTGATATTCTCTATTGAATATTCCATTATCTCGTTAATATTGTATTTCTATATTTATTAATCTCAACTACCTTGAATTATTAATATACCAGCCGTTTACATTTCTTCATAAACGTCCACGTTTATGATCCATCATTTTTTTCTGGATAACATAATAATATTCGATATGATGAAACAAAGTACACAAATTTCAAAATAATCAATGTAACATTTATTTTCGCTTCATTTTGCAAAAGTACGCGAACGAGAGAAAGTATCACCAGAACGTGCCATTTTAATTAATATAATTTGTACTTTTCATGCACGATATGAAACGATAACGCTTCACCGGCTTCGATCTCGTTCGTCCGATTTATTAAAAAAAAAAAACAATAAAATTCAAATAACACTGCGCACGCTGCATAAATAAAGTACTTGTAAATGACTAGTACAGATTATTTCGATGTCGCAAATACACGATCATTTACCACAGAAAGGTTGCAAATTTAGTATCCATTGTCATTTATTTTATTGCGAACGGAGGCGCTTCGTTTGTAGTTAAATAAAATTTTCCCCGTAACCTAAAGTGATTAAAATAAGACATAATTGCATTTAAATAATATAATATATAATCCAAAATTAAATATATAGATAATATCTTACGACGTGGATGCATATTCTCCCATTAAAACGATTGGATTGTAATCGCAATGTCCTTCTTTGTATTTTTCCCAACTTTCACAGGTTCTTGCCTTGAAACCAGATGTACTTCCTATACTCTCTGTCATGTACTGATGAGCTCGCGAATGGCTGCAGTAAGCTGACAAATGTTCGATATTGTTACTTAAAAATCGATCAAATAGTTTATAATAATATATTTATATTTTTATTGAACATTTATAATATATATTTATATTGTTATGGAACATTGAATTAAAAAAAAAAAAATTTTTACTTCTTGTCGGTAAAAACGAACACCCAGGCTGTGGAAATTTTCCATTGTTAGGATAAAAATCAGCATGACCAAGTGGAGCCAAAAATCCAAATGCAGGTCCACTTGTATGAATTACATCCACGAATTGTGCATCAGTTGGATCTAATCTGAACTCTGGATCAACAATCCCAGGAAATGTCTCGAATAATGGACTAGCTGGATCTAAACCTTTGAATTGTATCATAATATTAATAACAAGAATTTATAAACTAAATATCTTACTAAATATAATCCAAGGATAATCTGTCAGTCACGAAATATTTTTTAAAATATCATAGCTATCATTCTTAAAACAAATTTTAATTTAAACATTATATTAGCAATTTAAAAAGATAATAGAATGATCTTGATAGTTAATTTAAAAATAATCAGTTATTCCACAAAGAAAATAGTTAATTTTTTAAAATTTTCTTTACATCGGGAAAAGAATCACAAATTATTTAAATATTATAGCAAATTATAAATTAAAAAAAATTGTAATACTATAATGGAAACATACCTGTTATTCTACCAATACGCCCGTCCAGATAAGCTCCAGCAAATCCTGCAACATGTGACCCCAAACTGTGACCACTAATGTGAACATCCTTGTATTCAAGATTCGATTCGCGATTTAAAAATTCCAGGAAATCTCCGAGAAATTCACCCACTCGTCGCGTATTGTTCGCTGCCATCGGATAAACATCAGCTGCCAAAGCACCCCATCCGACGACTATCACGTTTACATCTTCATGAAGTAGATACGCTGAAATCGTAAATAATCATTTTTAAATGTACCAAAAAAGATTTAAAACATACAAGATTTTATATATATATAAAATCTTAAAAATATTTTATATTAGTTATTTAATTTATAATTATAATCTATTGCTATTAGTTTGATTATAAAACTAACCCAATATTCAAGTTTAATATTCAATATAGGAAAAGTCTAAAATTAAATGTAAAGAAAAGTATATAATTGCATATTAATTTATTCATAGGACATATTTGAAGAATTAATTTTAGAATCTAAAATAAATAGAGAAATTGATATTCAAAAATATTCATTGAAACTTATTTATTAAATTATAAATAAATTTAAATTTGCTTTAGATAAAGCAGGTCGCAGATAGAGTAAGGCCACTTTCTCCATTATACTATAGTCATATCTTAGCCTTGCTTCATCTAATACGTCTTATGAATATGTATTAATGTATTAAACTTTATATAATATGATTATAAATTAAATAATAATAGAAATATAAATTCAAATAAAAAAATCCATATTAATAGAAATACATACATTAATTTTTATTTTTAGCATTATATTTTTATAGTCTTTAGATTATGAACTATACTTTTGTAAGAAGTTTATAGAACTTGAAATGCTATTGATATGCAATAGAATAAAAGATAAAGTAATAAAATTAGATAAAGTATTAAAATTTTTGAATGATAGTATTTAAATGCATAGTACATATTGGAAAAAAACAATTGATTTGCCAATAGACAAGAAAAATGATGTACATCCAAGTTCTAATTTAAGATTTCCCATAGTTACGTCAGGAATTTAGTCGCAACACAGCAAAACTTGTTAAGTGATCAATTAACTTGTTATCGTAGTGACCCTTGAACCTGGCGACGTCGATTCCGTGTTTACCGAAACGGATTGACCCTGATTGTAATTAAATTTCATTGAAATGATGTCGACGCCATCGATATTTCTAGAAATTCCTTGAAAATCGTTTTTCCTTTTTCTTGTTTCATTCATTACTATATGTAATATTTTCTCTTCATTTGTTCATTTTCTTCCTTGATTTTTATTCTAATTAATTTTTCTTTAATCGTCGAAATAAACAAGATTCATTTTTACACATACCATCTATCAAACCTCGTACCCAAGCTTCGTTTCCGGTGTCGCTAAATCCATGAATAATGAATTTCGTTGGACGACTTTCGTTGAAGTGAGATGCATAAAGAACCTCGGTATTGTTTAAAAACAACTGTTCTTCACCAAATGGATTTTCTCTTTAATAATAAAAAAAAAAATATTATATTTTTAAAAATGTTTTTAATTATTCGAAATATATATAATATTTGGAAATTTTTACTTTATACAAATTTGAAATCATAATAATATAAAATATTTCTGAGTTAACTTGTTATAATTTTTTAATTTTATAATATTACATACATTCATTGATGTTAAATCTTTTTTGAAATTTCTTTATAACTATTTGTTTGATTTTTTCTATAAAGAAATTTTTACAATTCTTATTGACAATTTTTTTGCTGTTAATTATAATTTCAAATTCAAAATTTATTAAAATATATTTTTGTTTATAATTTTTAATTTGAGTATTGAGCAAAACTATTTTTTTGCTGTTAATAATTTGATTAATAATTTGATTTATATCACGAAAATATCAAGGATCGGAGTGTCTCAAATATGCCTCAAGTGGCGCCTCAATTTCCCCTTCTTTCCGATCAACAGCAAACAGCAAAATGATGTAAAAAGAAAAAGAAAAGGAGGCACGTCCGCGATATTCACGCATCGATGATAGTTAGTGGAGCGTCAGCGCTGAGAATAGAATTCGCCGACATGATGATTGCACGTATCATTAAAAAAATTGATGCATCGTTTATGAACAGCAAATGATAAGACTTGCCTCTGCATGGGCGAAAAATTCGCAGCGCGTTGCCAAGGAGAAACATAAATTTCTTAAACATTTCAAATTTGTCTCTTTTTTTTATCTAATTTTCTCTTTTATAAATCTTAAAAAAATCGCAAATAACCATAATAATCGCAAATAAACATAATAATATCAAACTAATAATAATAATAATAATAATAATAATATTAATAATAATTTTTTATTCAAAAAATAGATTAGAAAATAAAATAAAAAATAAATTAATAAAAATGTTTATTAAATAAAATATTTTTAATGAAAATAAAATTTTCAAGCAATATTATATAAAATTTCTTAAACTTTTTTTTTTTTTAAATTTGCATTTTTAATTTTGATTTAAAAAATAGGAAAAATAGAAATAATTTTAGGAAATAAAATAATATAAATAAATAAAAGATACCTATTAAATAGAATATTTGATGAAAACAAAATTGACCTTCAAACAATGTTATATAAAGTTTTTTTTTTTTTAAATAGATATCAATATCAAATATTATTTTTCACGATATATTCTATTTTAAGAACATAATTTCCTTAATTTGTATCGCAAGTTTCTCCTAGATTATAAAACAAAAAAAAAAAATTTTTGAGCTGTATACCTGGTGTACAAATTGAACGTAGCCGGTTCACGGGCAAGCCTGAATACAG